TGTGCTACCTGGACGAGGAGGCGGGCGCGTGGCGCACGCTGGCCGCGCTGCCCCCGGAGGCGAGCACGCTGCTGGCCGGCGTGGCCACGCTGGGCAACAAGCTCTACATCGTGGGGGGCGTGCGCGGGGCCAGCAAGGAGGTGGTGGAGCGGGGCTTCTGCTACGACCCGGAGGGGGGCACGTGGCGAGAGTTCCCCAGCCCGCACCAGCCGCGCTACGACGTGGCGCTGGCCGGCTTCGACGACGGCCTCTACGCCATCGGCGGCGAGCTCCGCCGGAGCCCCGTGAGCTCCGTGGAGCGCTACGACCCGGCCGCCGGCCGCTGGAGCTTCGTGGCTGACCTCCCGCAGCCGGCCGCTGGCGTGCCCTGTGCCCAGGCGTGCGGCCGCCTCTTCGTGTGCCTCTGGCGCCCGGCTGACACCACGGCCGTGGTAGAGTACGAGGCCCAGACGGACGCCTGGCAGACCGTGGCCGAACTACGGCGCCCGCAGAGCTACGGCCACTGCATGGTGGCCCACCGCGACAGCCTCTACGTGGTGCGCAACGGGCCTTCCGATGACTTCCTGCACTGTGCCATCGACCGCCTCAACCTGGTCACCGGCCAGTGGACGGTGCTGCCCGGCCAGTTCGTGAACAGCAAGGGCGCGCTCTTCACGGCTGTCGTGCGCGGCGATGTCGTCTATACGGTCAACCGCATGGTCACGCTGCTCTACACCATCGAGGAGGGCACCTGGCGGCTGCTCAGGGAGAAAGCCGGCTTTCCCCGGCCCGGCTCTTTGCAAACCTTCCTCCTGAGGCTGCCTCCCGGTCCCCTGGGACCTGTGGCCGTGACGACACCGGAGCTCTGACCCCAGTCTGCGCGGCCAGCCCCAGCAGCTGCCCCGAACTGACTGCTGACATTGGGGGCTGAACCCTCCGCTTACTTGCTTTCTGCTAAGAGCAGGTGGGGCACAGTGTCACTGGAAGTGGGGTGGGGAGGGAGAGGATTTTACAATCCAGGTTCCCTGAAAATGCGCAGTAATTGACAGTGACTGTACTCTGTGCCATCAGATGGATTCGGACTCACAGTGACTCCGTGTAGGGAGCGGACAGCATTACCTGAGGACCAGCTGGTGCGTCTAGTCGCTGACCTGGTGGTTAGCAGCCTAATGCTTGTCCCAGGAGAGGGCGGAGTGATGTAAAATCGTCGAGCAGTAGCCAAGAACGAGGTGTCCGCTTAGTGCCCAGCGCAGTGATAGGCCTCCTGGGGGCGGAGGTGGTGGGGGTAGAGCGTCTCTCAGCATCCAGTCCAGCCCAGGAAAAGCTCACTCTTAGCAGAACAACGACAGGACAACAGAGGGTTTACACTGACAGGTCTTGATCCATAATGGGTTGAAGGTACTGTAAAAAAAAAACAAAATCCGTGTAAGCCACATGCAGTAAGTACTAAAGAAATCAGAGCAAAGGAAAAATAAGAAGAGGCAAAAATGCTAACTACAGGGCAACTCACTTGAGTCCCCACCTGCTGCCACCAGGTGCTTTTCTTTCTGGCCAAATAAACTGCTCTCTGCTTCCCCCCACCCCCACACAAAAACAAGATAACTCCGGGACGAAGGAGAGCCTATGAACTGTGTGAGTGAGGCAGACAGGAGAGACTTCGCTGGAGAAAGGGGAAGGTCCATCCGGGAACCGTGAGAGCTCAGAGGAGGAGAGCAGGGACTGGCTGGAGCAGAGGGGAAGGCACTTGTGCACCCAGACAGATGCTGGCATGAGTAGAGAGTAAGGCTGGGCTTCTTGGTAGCAGACAGTAAAGGGTTCCCACAGCTGTTCCTGTGCATGGAGAACCCAGCTGTGAGCCCCTTCCTCACCTTTTTTTGCCATCACCCAAAAGCAGTGGGTAGTTAACCCCTGTGACCTCAACTCACTCGGTGTGAGTGAGCCCGGGACTCCTACCTCTCCTCAATTACATTTGCTCCTAGCCTTTGCCCTGCCATTCCCTGGCTTGGAATGCCTTTCCTCTCCCCCTCTGTTGGCTCTAGAGCCACCTTCTCTGCTCTCCTGATCTTAACTGCCTGCCTTGTTCATTGGACCCCTGGCTCTGAGATCACCCCGTGTGTGTATATATGTGTGTGCCCACATGTAGACTAAGGACAGAGATCCTATTGTGTTGTCAACTGGGCTGCGCCCTTCCCAATTTACAAAGTTAAGTGACAGGGTGTTGAAGGAACCTAGGAGGGCACTGTGGGACCTGATGCTGACCTCTAGTGTTAAGATGAGAGACTCTGCCGCCGCCCCCGCCCCCCCCTTCCCAGGCACCACCACCATCCCCACTCCACCCCAGGTGCTCAGGTAGACGGCTCTGAATGTTCTTTGTCCTTCAAGGACTGAGGCGCATGGGGAGGCCTGGCCTCCTCTTAAGTGGAGCATGCAGCATTGGCAGAGCACCTACTGAGCATGGAAGCTGGTGCCAGCTGCCTCTTACCCTGGTTTGGCTGACCTCTGCCCTGAGAGAATGTTGCCCTCAGAAGCCAGGGACTTTTGGGTCTTGGATTTGCCCCATCTGATGAGTCACAGCAATAAAGCTTGATTTTGCATCTCATGATTGGTCTGCTAGGCACTTTCCCAGCCATCTTCCCTCTCCAGCCCCCCACGCCCTGGGACTTGGATACCCTCTCCTGTGACATGAGATGTGGCAGGCAGAGGGACTGGCCCAGAGCCCCATAGACCACCAAAAGCCCTCTCATCCGAGTCATGGTTTTTGAAAAACTTAAAATTTATTCAGACAAATATAAAGAGATTTAAAGGGTTTGACTTAGTAGTGAACTGACCCAAACAAAACAAGCCCTCACTTCCACGAAGTTGATTCTGACTCGGAGGGAGCCTCTAGGAGAGGGTAGAACCGCACCATGTGAGCTTCTGAGACTGGAACTCTTTATGGGAAGAGAACCTCCTCTTTCTCCCCCAGCTGCTGCTGGTTTCAAACTACGACCTTAGTGGTTAGCAGCCCAACACATAACCCACTACCATGAGGGCTCCTTGACTTAACCAAATGAATGGCATAATTTGTTCAAAACATTTGAGAGGCGCCTACCCAAACCAAACCAATTATCATCGACTCTCCCTCATAGTGACCCTATAGGACAGAGTTCAACTGCTCTGTAGGGCTTCTGAGACTGTAACTCTACGGGAGCGGCCTCATCTTTCTCCCTTGGAATGGCTTGTGGGTTTGAAACATTGACCCAGTTAGTAGCCCAAACGCGTATGCTGCTGCACCTCTTGATTTGTGAGATATACACAGCTCATTGGGGAAAACACAAAATAAGCTTGCTCAGTTAAAGACAACTGGCTAATGCCTGAGAGGGTAGTAAACTTAACTTTTAACATGTTCCCTACTGGACAAAAATCTTGTGCATCTTTGCCAGACAAAATCTACACAGTAGCATATAACCTCCCTCGTCGATACTCACTGCCACTGAGTCAGTCCCCATGCATGGTGACTCTGGAAGACTGAGTTAAACTGCCCCTGTGGGGTTTCAAGGGTGGACACCTTTAGAGGGGCAGAAAGCCTCATTCTTTTCCCCGCAGTGGCTGGTATTTTTGAACTGTTGACCTTGCAGTAACCCACTCCGTCACCAGGGCTCCTTGGGCCCTAATCAATAGTACATTGTACAAAGGTACATACATTCCTTCAGAGATTTACAGCACTCTCAGAGGACCCATCACGCACTGCTTCCGAATGACAGTGAAAGGGCATGCAGGCCTCTCCTTGCTTCTGTCCAAAGTTACAGATGGTTTGTTTTCACGGAGTAGAGTCCGTTGCTCCCACCCCACCCAGGTCAAGTACCTGAGACTTGGAACCTCAGATTCAACAGGCCGTGGGAGTCTCACTCAACCACGAGAACTTGCATTTGAAGTTGCCTTCGCTTGTCCTGGAACCCTGGTGGTATAGTGAGTATGCATAGGGCTGCTAACAGCGAGCTCAGTAGTTCTAGGCCACCAGCCATTCAAGGGAGAAGGCGAGACTTGTTACTCCCATAAAATGTCAGCCTCCAGCAGAAAGGAAATGTTTTGAGAATGATGATAGCAACAAATGTACAAATGTGCTTGACACAATGGGTGTATGTATGTATGGATTGTGATAAGAGTTGTATGAGTCAAAAAAACAACAACAACAAAAAAAAGAGTTGTATGAGTCACCAATAAAATGATTTTTTTTAAAAAAACACTCCCTTAGAGTTAAAGTTGAAAAAAAATTTTTTTTTCAGCCTCAGAAACCCCTGGCCACGGTTCTACCCTGTCCTATAGGGTGGCTGTGAGTCCGATTTGATGCCATAGCAGCGAGTTTAGTTTATTTTTCTTGCTCTCCTGGGGTCTGCTGATTCCTGGGGTGTGGTCACTCTGGATCCAGAGGGACCCCTTCTAAGTGAGGATTGAGCCAAACTGACACTAAGGTCACAAAGAGCCCACCCACTGAGGGACTCACTGAAGTTCTTACAAACATTTTAGGTAGGTAAGTGCTTGGCAACATACCCCCCC